TAAGTATACATATCATGTCTATACGTAATAAAATAAAAGTGATTCATCGTTGCGACACGATTTCTAATATCTAGATATACCATATGTTTAGGTAGCAAAACTATGAATACGAAACCTTATAATATTGTCATATTAATCGATTTTCTAAAAAATAAATACATAAATGATTTCCAGAGAGAACGCGCAAAGGTCTACCTGATAGGGTATATTGCTAGTTGTATGGGGGCCAAACTTCATTAACAATTTGGTGTTTGCGATTATGCAACTAGTTTGACTTTCTTGAAACTGGACAGGAAGGATATAGGAGGATAGATAGGATAGATAACCTTCATAAAACAGTATATAAAAACAATAGCGAACGTAAATGATTAATAAATTAAAAAATTGCCTTCCGTCAACTCAATCTGATAGGATTCGAATTGACATCTTTCTGCTGGAGCTGACTGTGTCTCTGATTACATCATGAGAGAAATAAAATCAGTAGTAGGTAATGACGTTTGAAAAAGTGATTGACAATTTACCGACATCTTTAAAAATAAAAAAAAATTGTGTAATACCGTGAATCAAATACAAAGAGAACACATTTAGAAAAGTTGAAAAATAGTTCAGAGACCCTTTAATTCTATTTATATGTTAACTTTCTAGTCAATCACGAAAATAAATTGTTTTGTTGTAAATATGAACACTACCCTTGTTGACTATCAATTAATCTTTGTAGCGCCAAACGTCCATGACGCAACAGGTCGCTACGAATTTAGAAGAAATAAGCATTTCTAAATTGGCTCTTTTATTATCGGTTATTTACATTTATACAGATGTTTTTATGTAACTTAAAATGGTAAATAAACCGACGGCCCACTTGATTTAGAATGGTAACTGTTGTTTTTCTTTATGAACAGCATCATGGACATTACAGAACGCACTATGACGTTCATGGTATCATTTTCATTCTTATAATGATACATATGTATATACAATATTTTGAAAAAGAAATAGATAATATTTTTTAAAATTTGTACCTATTCATTTTTCAGTGTTGTTTATATACATACACAACGAGAATTTTACGAACTTACTGTATTTGTCCTTACCGACAAATGTTTCTACTTCATCCGGAAGTCTTCTTCAAGAGGCATACAGCACTTTGCATAACAGCGTCTCGGCTGCACCGCAGCTCGCAGAGCCCGTGAAGACGTCAGCCTGGGTGGTGGTGTGAACGGAGCAGTGTTAAGAAGCAATGGTGCTGTTGAAGATGAGTGGTTGTATACTGTGTAGTTATCGTTGACTGTGAAGAACTCCTGTCTTCGCTGCTACTGTCTTTTTAGCTGTCCAACGCAGTCTGACACGCAAAACTCACTGTCTTCTTTTAATTCGTGTAGTAAAATCCGACATCCATGATGACTTATTTTCCAGGTCTCTTTTTGGCTCTATAGAAATGTTTGTATGTCTGTATGCTTGTTTGCCATCTTTGTGGTTTATACCATGAAAAAATATAGCGACGACTAATTTTTATTGCTTCACAAATCTAGCGAGGAATACATAGCTTGCTAAGTAAGTTTCGAGCCTTGTCAAAGCGTTCTAGTGCGTCACACTAGAGGACAAAGCGTGCTCCGTCACAGCGGAACTACCTATGACACATTCTTTATAGAGCGCATGTGTTCAACCAGCATTAAGAATACTTTTCTTCTCGTCTCACCCATGTAACATTTACCACAATCGTAAGAATAAAAATTTCGTAAAATTCCCGTTGCGCATGAATATAAGACATAAATAATATTTAAAACAAGTTTACTAGAAACATCTACAAATATTATGTATACGCATTGATATAAACAAAAATAGTTGCTTTTTTTTCCTTCACTACTAGAAATTGAACTAACACACCCACAGAAACCTAATACACTTTAATACGGTACCCCTCGCGGAGTAGCCTACTACTAGTAAACGAAATAAACTCCGTCTATAAATATATTTGACCTGTCACTTTATCATATTGAAAGTATAAAGTGAGGCTGGTTGCTTTTACGTTTGGAATCAAGTGAACGTGACATAATCACCAAAACCATTTATTTATATTCACAATAGTAAACATAATGATAATAATTCTAGACCTCACGCTACGATTTTCTATGTTAGGGCGATGTACTACTGAAAAGAGTACTCTCAGCTATTTCTGAAAGTCTTAAACAAAACAATATAATTACTCTGTATTTGTGCCACCACTGAGGGCCAGGAAAGGTAAAATAAACGTACCGACATAAATTAATTAATTCAATTACGTCTCTCAGTAAAATACCTATTACATCTATAAAAAGAAACCAATTTCAACGGCGAGCCAACTATTGTGAATCCTATAATTTATAAACATGTTTATTTTAAGTTATTAGGAAAAACCCGCCTCTAGACATGTCCCGAGTTTATCTTTCATTTCTGTATGAAGTTAGAAACACTTTTATGATATATTATAATAATTATATAAATACGTATTAATTAAATTTAGTATTTCAAATAAAACTGCTCTACAACTTTACACTATTAATTTTTCAATTCAAAGTTCTTCGGTAATAATTAAATTTATTATTTTACCTAAATCAATTCTCCAGATTCCTGAAAACTTCTAACAGTATAATATAGTCACTATATTAATTTTGTTAATTCGTGTGAAGTATTTAAACCTCAAAGAAGTCGATTAAATCTCAGACTTCCAGGACAAACGATAAAACTTGGAGGCCTCAAACTTTTGATATAAATTGTTCTCGTGCTACGATACAACAACAACAATATGATGTACCAACGGGTACAGTATTAAGAAACCCCCTTAAACAATCTAATATAAAACTATTAGAGTATTCTGTCAGTTTCATTTGAATTATGATTTTTTACTTTATAGTACTAAGGAGGCAAATATGCATCAAGACCACCTGATGGTAAGCGGCTACCGAAGTCTGCAACACCAGCAGCTTTACACGCGCATTGCTAACCATGAAGAAACATTGTTACCCCTTTTTTAAAAAGGGCTGTACCCGGTTGAAAAAACCTCAACAAGGAGCTCATTCCATAACCTGAGCGTTCTTGGGAAGAAACATCTCTGAAATTGCGCTGTACGCGACCATCCAGACTCTGATAGAAAGAATGTACTTCAATAGAAAGAGACAGGCCTCAATGCAATTAGGTCTACAAACATTGAAGTCTACAAACATAGACATCATAGTATCATAAAAGAAATTTATAACTGGATGGCTATAAGTATTTATTTTTTCTCCTTTTATTAAAATTTTTATAACACGGAAGGTAAACAAACATGCGACTAACCTGATGATAAGTGACTACTGCCGCCCATGAACACCTGCAATATCGGAGGAATTACAGGTGTGCTGTCGGCAATTTAAAAGAAAATATGTTCCTTTCTTGAAGGTTACGATGTTTTATAGGTACATATAATATAATTTTTCCGTAATATTTATTCGTTATTATTATCTAATTTTTCTAGGAGTATCGTTTGAAATAAATTCTAAAATAAATTGAGGTACAATTGGACTGATAAATTGAGGTACGATTGAACTGACATGCCTAAAATGATGAAAGATGCCAAAAACTTCTATCGTTTATATAATAAATAAATAAATTAAGATAAACAGTTCGTTAATAGTCGTGAATGTCTAGACTTTGTGAAAATTTTTACATATATACTCTTCCACAATGAAATTCTTACCAAATATACCTATAATAGGTTTCGATGTTTAAGGCATTTTTAAACCTTTATGTACATTTGTACCCATTTAATCAATTAAAGAATAGCTAGAAGTTAACAAATAAATAGGTAAATTTAATAGAAACAAACGTACTAAAATATCAAGTAGATTTTAAAAAAGGACTATTATCAATATAGATTAATTATTTCATTTAGTAAGATAATTTATTGTTTTATTTTTCACATTATCCTAGTAATTACTATTTAGTAAACATAATTAGAATTATTTGTATTTCTATTATTAGAACAATCCAAAATAGTTTTGTAACTGAAAGAGATTTATTAAATATCTGACGTTTTTGTAAATAAAGGTGTTGAGTTACGCAAGTGTCGAAAAATATCTTAAAAAATGATTAGCGAATTATTGGTTGATATGTCGGTTTTCCATACTATAAAAAAGTTTAAAAGTATATATGTATAATACAGCATTCAGAATATCACAACATTAATACTATAGCTAAAAGAAGCGAGTGGCAGATGCCTACCTATATTATATGAATTATTTTTAAAAATAGACGACCTAACTGCCGGATAAGCAAACAACAAAATTATAATTTTATCTATTTGATTATGAAACTTACTGTAATATCAATTCGTTACTACCATAATTCAAAGTTTTAAAACTTGTGTATATATTTTAAAACTCAGGTAATAATTGCATTGTCTGCAAGAGCTACTCCGCAAATATAAAAAAATATTGTATTAAACAACTTAATTAAAGTACAATAATATTTATGCAACGGTTTACGGGAATTTAATTAGCTAACTTGTTGTTTTCCAACAGTTGTACTCGTATTCACTTCAACCCGGAAAACTGATTAAGTACGGGCTTTTGTGGGAAAATGAAAACACAGTCCATTAAATTACCTCAACTTTTTATATAGATATATAAAAAAGTGATAAATATAAGTATTAAATATAAAATATAATTAATAAAATTCAATTAAAGTCAGCATAAATTATTCGTGATATTTGAAAATTTTAATTATGTATTGGGATATACCAAAATTTTATATACTTGCATTATTTTCAATAAGGTAAATTAAGTACAATTACCCATTATTATTAGGTAACAGCATTATTATTAGGTCAAAATATCTTTTAAATACATATTAGAAATTTTATAAGGTTGTTTACATAAGCCTTAATCAACATCTGATATAATGTCGTAAATTTTGTGAATCAAAAATAATATTAGTTTGCAAATAAATACATTAACTGTGAAAAACATACCTTAATATTATCTTACCTTAGGTGTAGATTTCTTCGAAATGTAAATAGTTCTTTTAGTGGCGATTACCGCAAATAAATGAAAGCTAACTTTCCGAACACTCACAAACAAAACACTAATTCAAACATAACCATTTTGATGACACTGGCCGCAAAGAAACGCGGAAATAATTTAAAAATCGCACACATAAAAACGTATCGATTTTTTTATTCAAAGACTTTTTATATTTCGAACGCGAATTCGAAATTACGCTCTGCAGATCGGTACGAATGACATAAGGTCGAGAGCGGCGTGACGCGTTTAGCGGCGACTGCTCAACTGACTTAAATTGGGCGGCCGATCTGTGGATGAGTTGAGCGCTTCGCAGGCGCGGCATAAGGCTGGAAACACATGTTAGCTTTTCCTTGTATGCCTCAATAGATAATAGAGAAATGTCATTTAGATAATAATACCTTCTTAGTACGAGAGCTTAAAAGTTACATATACGAAATCCGATACAAATTCAGGGCCGTCTGAGTAGTTAGTCTCATGTATTTAATATATGAAGTATAATGTAAATAAATATATAAACCATCCATTCAATTTAGCCGCTACTTTGGATTTTTTATGCCGTCACAGGGTTTACTTCTAAAGGATAAATTCTTTATTAAATAGTCTTCTGCATTACCACAGTCTAAAGAAGTCGCCCCTGAATATTAGTTTACATAAATTATGTCAGCGTAGCGCTTTGAAGCTGTTTGTAACCTCGAGTTACTTACATTTCGCCGTATATGAAATCGTATGTGACAATTTCATATATGCTCAGCCTATCGTTGTTACTAGAATTAATTAAGTTTGTTAACAGTATTTCCTATCATCAAAGAGTTAAATGACAATTTATATTGACACACTGGGTTTTGATACTAACCTGATTTAATGTTAAGCCGAAATTAATGAGGTCTTTTTGAGTTAAGGTAAAAATAATTATTTGAAGATTCAATTATATCGAAATTCCCTTTTAATATTTTGGAAATATTTTGGGAAGGAAATCAATACATATAGATGACTCAGGACCAATCCTTGTAACAGATAATGGGAGAACCTGAGAGATATATGGTAAAATGATGATGATATTACTATATGTATGTATGGTGTCTAACTACATCTCGTATGAATATAGATGTATGGTCTATTTCATACGAGATGTAGTTGTGTAAACGAACGTGCTGATAGATTTTTTATTAGCTATTTCTATATGCTAATTTAAAATATAACCACACTTGGTAATAAACACAATATACTTGTAAGTGTACCAATTTTCATTCAGTCCGTTCAGAAGGTTTTGCATGTAAGAGAGTAACAAACATCCATCCATCGGTTCATCTATCTTTCCTTAGAAACTTGCGCATTTGCAATAATAATATGATTCCTCGAAAGAATGTGCAAGAAACTATAGGAGTGATAAAATTTTATTTTATTCATAACGGAAAATTGTAATAAACAAAATTTAGATTAAATTTACATTTTTCGTTTTAAATAATTAAGTTCGTTTTAATTTCGACTAACTACCACGCGAACGGAGACGCGGATACGACTAGTTTATTATACAATTGAGCTGTTCGTGTGTGTTTATTTGCCGGTACGCCGTTATGGGCGCCATACAAGGGTGCCTTACAATCGCAAATGTATTTGGCGCGTTTTAATTGACAATGGACAGACGCACGCGACAATTGGCCACCTCACACGCGCACACTTACGATTCAATAGGTTGCGAATTCAATATTATTAATCTATCAAATACAAAAGACTATTGTGTGTAATTAAAGTCATAAATACAAGGTGAAAATTAAAATTGATGGTTGTATTCTTACCTAACATTTGTCCATACACGTAAATTTTAAAGTATGAAAATAAATTAAATGAACAACTTGTAGATGGAGTATGTACATAGATAAAATATATACCAGATTTTAAGGTAAACATTTTGGAATACAGCTGTGAATTGTGAAATCGCAACCAACGTACTTCAATAGTTTTTGTATGAAGAAGATTTATATGAGGGGTTCGACTACAAACATGAGAGTTTTATATATAAGATATAGTATCTAAGATTTAGGACATAATTATAAATGTATCGCACGCAACTAAGTGGTAAGTGTGTGCTCCTATTTTATGGATACCTACAACGCTATTAAGGAAGTCGTTATACAATATCATTGGACGAGTTGCGATATAAAACAATAGTAAAATATTTGTTTGTCGAATAATTCGCCAGCAAATTAATTCAGGAATTGTTTCCTTCTAATGGTGGCAGCTGCGTTTGCATAAATGGCTTTAATAAAATTCTTCGTTCTTATCTTGATGAATTGTAATAAATATCAATTAAAAATTGTTATACTAGGACAAACTACTATCACAGATGATATAATATTTCTCCTTTATGAAATCCTTTTAATATTACCAATAATAAGTGCCACAGCATCACTCGAGTTCTCTGGTCTTCAGACTATCATATTCTAATCTCCTTCTATTCTGAGCCACCAAGCTATGACCACCTGAGTACCAACCAATATCAAAATCTAGATTAATACATGAAATACTTTTATCCTAATTCAAGCAAATAAAGCCATAATAGTCGTAGTGAAATATTTACTAAGAAGAATAAGTGACAAACAAAAACAATATTACAGTCCGGTGTTAAGTCCGCCAAATGTACATAGAATTTTACTGTGCATTAAAGTTTAAATAAATAAATAAAAGTATTTACCAAAAGGAGATTTTGTATAAAAGTCGTTTGCTTGGGCACCTCTCTCTTATTCGTGTTTCTACCGTGAACCAGTGGTGTTTGCATGGCTGCGTTTCGGTTTTAAGAGTGAGATAAGGCAGTGAATTTACAGGGTACAGAGGAATAACACTTGAGTCCTCAGGAATGTCAGTGTCATGGACGAAACAGTATACTCTGTTATATCCATGGTACTGCTCATTGCTATAGGCGACGGTTATTATTTTCCATCAGGTGGACTGTCAGCTTGTTTGACATTCTAAGTTGCATAAAAAAAAAAAAAAAAAATCATCACTTCACTATTTGTGTAAATTGTAATTAAATTCTGAAAATATTTTTATCTATACAATACTAAAATATTTTAAATTAAATTAATTTTTACCAAAAACGTCGTCCACGTGGCCAGAATATATTAGGTGGGTAAGAATAAAAAGTAGTCGTAGTACGTTCTCCATCCCAAATACTGCATGCAAATTGAGCCGTTAAGACGCTAAGAGATAACATTCAAACTCTATAAATAAGTAAATAATATCTTTGTGTTTATTATTATGCTTTATATACAAACTCTATAGACAATTTCTTCTTTCGGGTTCTCAAGATTGACTGAAAGAAATCCCTTTAAGGGATAAGTCAGTTTGTGTACTTTTTTGTTGTAACTTAATATATTAAACTATAAGTGAATGTACAAAAGCAAATAAATAAATAAATAGATGTAGTTTTGCCATACAGAAAGAAATCACAAACACGGCTAGAATTATATAGAAAATCGAAAGAACGCCCTCTTTTTAAAATATTATATTATGAGTATAACAACGAAAAACTCTTTAAAAGCATTTCTAAATAATATGGCTTCACACCAATACATTTTCAAGTGTGCGAAAAAACAGCTTTTCATTTAATTTATTCATCCGCAGAACTTACCGGTTGATCGCCATTGTGTTACGCCTACTGAGACACGAAACTTGTTCCATAGTCTGTTATTTTTATTAATTTTGTAAGACTAATTAATTTATATTACGTATATTTATTAGATACATTTTAATAAAATTTATTATATTTTTAACTAATTTCATAAGTACAGAGCGTGTTTTTTATTTTTATGTGTTTATTTTTGTACTAGTAGTGGATGTTGTTAATTCAGTCAAGCTTTTTTAATTTTTATTTTTCGAGTAATTAAAAAAATAGCTTTAACAAACCAATTTATTCCGGCCTGCTTCGTTAAGCTCATATTGCTACGTTCAATTTAAATAATAAATAAATATTATTCACTACAGCACACCGCATTGACTAATACCTCTGATTATCTTATCTAAGATTACAGTTATAATATAAATAAGTAAAGTAAGGTAAATAAAGCATGGGTATCGGAAAGATTCGGCGAAATAGAAAGGACACAAAAACCTTTGCTTAGTTAGCAGTTTAGTAATTTCCAGAGTTTGCAAAGAAACGTTAAATTGTTCTGTCATTTATTTTACTACTTATTGGATGACGACAATCGCGATAAGTTTTTGATGGCGTCGCATACCTTGAAAAAAAGCTTAATAAGATAAAATCAGACTTTGTCAATTTTCATAAAAATCAGACTAATAATAAAAAAAGAACTCTGATAATCCAATCGATAAAATTACTTTCTTATAATATTAGTTATTCCTCGCGGTTTTGCCCGCACGCATCAATGTATTAATTATCCTATGTGTCAAGTTCGGACATAACTTATCCGTGTACCAAATTTTATTCGAATTCGTTCAGCTGTTTAAGTGTAATTGAATAACAAATATACTCAACACAAATTTTCGGATTTATGAATATTAGCACTCGTAGAATAAAGGACGAAATAGAATTAACCCCCTTATTTATAAAACTAATAAATTTGCAAAGTGCTTTAGTTGCAATTTATTGTGGTCGCCTTATCCTACAGATGCAAATCGCTGCCGACGACAAGAGAACTCAATCTCGACGGAGCTGTTATGTCTTACGTGATCGCAATATCGCTGGCCACAGGCAGGTTTGTGCACGAGTGGCACCACCTCACCACGGTCACCCCTGCCAATTCTAATATTAAAAATACCTAATCATGTACAGCAGCGTGCAATAACATGTAAACGCTTTTATAATTTATCGCAATAATAATTTGTCTTTGCAATATAATATTAATTACAATCATTAGAGTTTATTTTCGTTTCGGTTCCGTATGCCACGTCTAAATAAATAAATTTATTATAGAAAAATATTTAAATTTTTAATTTTAACAATTAAATCTTTAAATTATATAGCAAACCAGCTGACGCGGCAAACGTTTTTTTTTTTTATGGGTGAAAATGAAATGGTAACTCCACCTGCGCTATCGGTATACACTGGCAGGGTACCAGTGAAGAATGATAGGTGAGGATGAAGGCCGGTCAGTTGGCCCATAGTGACCAATTAAACAAAAAATTAACTACTATGTTTTCCAGGGGGAAACCGCTTGGAGGTCGACCTGATCATCACTAATAACTCCTTTCCCCCACCCGGTATTATTTTTATTATAGGTTAGAATT